GGCCCCACTTCATTCCCAGATCAATTAAAGTGTCTGTGGGTGTGTCTGTGTGGACCACTTCATCTTTGATCTCTTCCCACACATCCCACCTGAATTGATACTGCTGTGCTGCCTCATTCCACCTTGTGTTCACAGTGAGATGGCAGAAACATGCTGCATAGGAAGCAACAATCCCCAGCCCCTACAGTTTCCTTAGTGTGGCCTCAGCCAGACATGAATGATGTGAGTCTTCAGAGATTGCAGACACAGGCTGGAGGAAGGCATTCTAATTTGACACCACCGAGGGGTTACCCACCAGCAAGGGGGAGGCCAGCCCAATGCCTGCCCTGTCAGCTAGTTAATTATTAAGTCTGTATTGGCTGGGTCAGAGGCATAGGCCTGGGGATGCAATAAGAACTGAAACTGGCATTGGTTCCTGTAGCCCCAGAATTACTATAGACTCATTGAATTGTTTTGGAAGAGGTATCACCAGTGTTCCCTCTAAGCAGGGCCAGATTAAGCAGGGGGCTAGCCGGGCAGCTGGCCGGGGTGCCTCATGGCAGCTGTAAGGGGTGCTCCGTGCCTAACTGCGCAGCACCCCTTAGAGCTAGAATGAGGTGCCACACAATCCTGGGGCACCGGAATGGCTTGACCTAGCCCTGCCTCTAAGCTCCGCAGTAGCACAGCTTCACAGGTGATTAATCAGCCAGTCAGCTGGGTGCATGGAGCCCTGAGCCTCTGGCTGGTCCAGGCTGATTAATCACCTGTGAAGCTGTGCTGCCTTGCAGCTTAGAGGTCTTTCTTCAGAACAGGCTGCACCCAAAATGCAGTGTTGGCTTACTTGTTTCCTCAACAGCTGGCTCTTTGAGGTCTGCTCCATAACTTGGGGGATGGGCAGCTCATTCAGGTGAGTCCAGTGCCTCTGGAGGCAGTGGTTGGCCTGATGGGTCCATTCCTCTTACACTGTGCCTACTCTTTTCACCATAGCTGTGTCTAGACTGGCCAGTTTTTCCAGAAAATCAGTCGCTTTTCCAGAAAAACTTGCCAGCTGTCTACACTGGCCGCTTGAATTTCCGCAAAAGCACTGACTTCCTACTGTAAGAAATCAGTGCTTCTTGCGGAAATACTATACTGCTCCTGTTCAGGAAAAAGTCCTTTTGCACAAAACTCTTGCGCAAAAGGGCCAGTGTAGACAGCTCAGATTTGTTTTTCTCAAAATAGCCCCGATCGCCATTTTTGCGATCGGGGCTTTTTTGTGGAAAAGCGTGTCTAGATTGGCACGGACGCTTTTCCGCAAAAAGTGCTTTTTTCCAAAAATGCTTTTAACAGAAAACTTTTCCGTTAAAAGCATTTCTGGAAAATCATGCCAGTCTAGACGTAGCCCATTAGTATATGGTCTGTACAAATTGTCAGGACTGGGACATAGATGACCAGATGTAGTGGTCAGTGTAAAGTCCCTAAGCCAGTCAGAATGCAGAACCAGAAGGTCAAGAGCTGAGGTCAGGAACCAAGTCAGATACCAGGAATCAGGCCAGGTCAAGAAGCCAGGAAGTCAGGGTTAGGTGATAAGCAAGAGATCAGAAACCATGAGCCTAATCCTAAGAACTAGATCAGAAACAGGAGACAAGAGCAAGATGCATCGGATAAGCAGTCCCAAACATGGTGAGTCCAGTTTTAGGGACATCATGATCCTGCTTCTAACTTGAAGAGGAGCACTGTCAGGAATACTGGTGTTCTACCAATCAGGATTCCAGGATGGAGTCTCCTATGTGAACGTGTCTTCAAGGAGTCCCAGTTCTAGCTCATGCCAGCAAGGAGATTTGGATATGCGAAACTGGATATGAGACTTTCAGGTCATGGCAGTGGGCCCTGATCTTGCTCTTATTCAACTCAGTGAAAACTCTCATTGAGTTTGACAGTCAAAGATCCTCACCCAGTAATTCCTGCATCAAACCTATTTGTTTTTTAATCCTTTAATATGTTACATTGACTTTGGATAGCACTACTTTTTTTTTTATCAAAATGTCATTGGTAACTAGGTCAAATGCTTTACAACAAGGGTCAATAACCTTTCAGAGGTGGAGTGCCGAGATTTGACTTATTCCGAGTGCCAGTGGTACTTTTAAAATTCAATACTAGTTCTACTTACAGCAGCTTCATTAATAAATAAATTAAGATGCAGATCTTACCTTTTAGTGCAGGGATCATCAACCTTTCAGAAGCGGTGTACCGAGATTTAACTTATTCACAGATCTGTGGGCAGACTAGGTATGGTGACCTAATTTTCTGAACCAGCTGCAACTAGAGAGACTGATTTAATTTAAATTATGAAACAGATTATGTGTTTTAACTTTCTCATGTTAGTTTATCAAACTTCATTTAAAATAAAATAAAAGATGTCCAACACTAACAATTTCTATTTTTTTTATTTATGGCAGGGGTGGGGAACCTTTTTTGGGTCAGGCAGTTACTGACCCACAGAAATATCAGTTGGGGATCACACAAGTGAGAAACAAAAAACCTTCTCCAACCCCCACCCTCATCGATGTGGCTCCCAACTGACACACCACACTCCTCTGGTGTTCCTGCTCCATGGGGAAGGGGAAGGGACAGGCAGGACTGCGGTTCGGGGCTTCCCATAGCCTAGATTTGCTTTTCTGAAGAATGTTATGGACCCCCTTAGGTTCTAAGGTGAGGACAAAAATAAGGGGTTCAGTGTGTGGGATAGGGCTGGAGGGGTGCAGGATCTGGGCAGGAAGTGTGATGTAGGAGGGGGGTAACAGTGCGGGGTCTGGGTGGGTGGTAGGGCGTTTTCATGTTGCGTGGTAGGCAGGCACAATGCAGAGGTGGCAGCGAGGGAGGCTGCAGTGCAGGGTCTCCAGCTTGCGCGGCAGCCACCGGCACAGGGGAGAGCCAAGTAGGGGTCGCCCAGCACCTTGCCTGGTCCCTCGGGGCTGCCGGCAGGCCAGGTCAGCAGGTGCAGTGCCTTCTAGTGCAGGCTGAGTGCCAAGCTCTTGGCCAGCTCCCACAGCCCTTCGGGCCATAGGCGAACCAGCTGGCTGGCAGCAGCAGTAAAGGCCTCCAGGGCCTCAGCCATGTGGCCGGTGCGGGCCAGTCTGTCCCCCTAGCACAGGCAGAGGCTGTGTTCAGGCTGTGACAGCTTGACCAGCTGCGAACCGTTTTGGCTCCATGATGCCTGCTCCACTTGCCAGCAACTCCAAGGTGCAAAGATCCCCCGGACAGCAGTGGCCTAAAAGAGGCAGCACTGCTGGACATGGGGTCCCGCAAAGCAGAAGCAGTCCCGTGTGGGGAGGGAGGAGGCTGTGCAGAGTGCAGTGGTGGAGCAGGAGGTGGCAGAGACTCGCCCACAGCAATGCACATCGCAGCCAGCTCAGGGGTACCTCCAAGCAGAGCTACTGTGCACACATCCTAACCTGCTGCTAGGGGAGGGAAAGGCTGCTTAAAATCAGCTCGTATGCCGCTCATGGCATGCATGCCGGGGGTTGCCGACCCCTGCTTTACAAGAATCTACATAAATTTTGTCAACAGAAACACCTGTGTCAACCAGAGTTGTGATCTAATTTTTAAAAAATCACATGTCTGACAAGACCTACTTTCCCATAAGCCAGTGACTGGCAATAATTTGAATCTTACTTTTTAAGTAGTAAGAATGCAAGTAGTATAAATTAAATTAGGATAAAAGAAATCCTGTGAAAAAATAGGAGTAACGTTAGTTCGAACCAAGGGGTTTGATTCGAACTAACACGTCCCGGAGCGCACTTCGTGGTTCAAATCAGCTGGCGAGTGGAATAGCACATGAGTGAGATTATGCTGATGAAGTGGGGGATATTTAAATCCCCGCTTCATTAGCAACTTCGGTCGGCTACATTTGCATCCCTAGCTCGAACTAGGGAGCAAGTGTAGAGGTACCCTGAAGGAATCATAAGTGCTATTTGTGGTAGCAGTTTGGGTGATGAGGATGCCTGTGCATTAAGTAACTCTAGTAAGACCACATCATTTTGCAATAAACTATCAGGTTATGACAACTTTCATATAAGTTTTGGTGGTGGTAAGTACATGAAAACTGTAGTACTCTGTGAAGTTCAATTGGCAGGTGTTACACTGGCCACATGCCAGTTGCCAAGGAAATGTATGAGTCAAATTCTAGAAGTTTTTATGATGGGGTAGGTGGGAAATAGATGTCTGCTTTTAGTCCAGATTCTTTGTTTGACTGCAGTAGCTGGTGAGAAATAATGTCCCCAATTTTCAAAACAGAGATTTGGGATTAAACATGGCCATTTATAATTCAACCTAATTTTAGTTTGGTATTCATATCTATGAAAAATGCACTGGATATGCATACATATACACCCGCTTCATTTGCTAAATGATCCAGCTTGTATCTACCATTGTTACTCTTTTAAGCTTAATTCAAATCTTCTTTTCCTATTTTTGTACATTGCCCTTTGCTAGTGTTAAGCTCTGTAAACAAAAAAAATTGTTTACCTTAATCCTTTATTTGAGCTAACAATGGTAATACACAATGGATGCAGGTGAGAAATAAGAATCTAACACGCCTGTCTTTGAAATACACTAGTCATTATCTAACGGGGATATTTCTGTTACTCTGATAAACTTAAAAGCTAGAAATAATTTTGTAGCATCAAAAGCCTAAATTATTTTACCTAGTAAAATCTACCAAATAGCATTGTCATCAGCTGCTTAGTTGAGACAGAGGCATAAAAGAAAATCTTTACCAAAACTAAACAAACTTTGACATTTAATATATACATCTCTATGAATTTGTGCTGACTGACCCATTGCCAAAATACCTGTTACTTCCTAGAGATGTTGAAGAATGAATTATTTAAACTGCAAACTTTAAAGCATGGAGTGTGGCCAGAAGAAAATGCCACATGGTTTGCTCACTGCAACAGGATCCAGTTGGTTAAAAACTGTGGTGTGCTGTTAAACTGCAAATTTACATTCACAAAGCTAATAAAAAACACAGCACACAGGCATTGGGTTTTACAAATTTTATTTCTAGACTTTAGTTCTTTTGCTGGAAACTTGTCTGTTACAGGTCTGTTGGTGACAATGTGCATTTCAGACCAGTGATGCCAATAAGTACAATATAAAAAATGTACAAATCTGAATTGCTTGCTTACTATAGATTGTTATAATAATGTGACAAATAAAGCATCTCTGTTGGCACATGAACCTGCTTATCAGGATTTGGCCTTTTAATACATCCATATTTAAAGAAATTTGCAGTACACACTGCCACTCAGTGTAACACATATAACCAACAACCACTAATGCAATAATCATGTTTGGTTCAGAGACACAGAGATGCCACAAACAGAAGTGTTCATGAGGTAAGCAGTAAGAAATGTTCCTGAAATTTGGACAGAATGTATCCAGTCCTCCTGGGTCCTGCGACTGCTAGTAGCATTGCAATGCTTTATTATACACTATGTAGGATCTTAACTGCGTTTGCCCTCAAAATGAGTTCTAATTCTGTTTTGGTTTAGCAGCATACAGGCAACAGCTAGATTATTCTTCAGCATACAACTCTGTTAGCTGGCTTATTTATGAGATTTACAGGCTTTTTTTAAATTAGCATTCTGCTATAATTAACAAAAAAACAAAACAAAACACCCTAGTATATTATAACAGATTAAACACACAAAATACTTAGAGTTCCAGAAGATAATCTATCATACCAAATGATGAGTCCCAGCTGATGGGAAACAACAAATAGCATATAAGAGTTATATTATAATGCACCTTTCATATATCAATGTGGCTAATAACACATCTTAAAACTACTATGATAATAAACCCCAGATCAGACAAAGAATCCAGCTTTATAAAACGCATAACAAAAAACTGACATTACTTGATCTTCTGAAATGTCTGCTGTTTTTAAATTAATGCAACCTAGTTGCGAATCGCGAGACCCATTCAGAATAATGTTCAATGCATTTCAGTTTGCAGCAGAACTATGAGGCACTGTATACGAACATTAAAACCTGGTCTAAACATGGTTAACTGAAGTATGAGGTATTGTGAAACAGGAACCTTTTTGGAATAGAGCAGTAATCACATTAAGTAAAAATTGATCACATAAAAAAAATCTACAAAAAATGATGTCAATAATATAATTTTCTATGAGAAAATTAAAACCTATAACATGGCAGTATATGACATTGTATAACAACAAAAAAACAAAAACAAAAAACTGATCCATAAAATAGCAGCAAAACACAATGACAAAGATACAGAAAGCAATGTTAATTTTTTTTTTCAAACCATGCTGGGAATTTATCCATAGCAGCTCAATAAAAATGGAGGTTCCACTCCTTTTTTTTCTTTTTTTTCCTTTCTTTTCTTTTTTAATTTTTTTTTTTTTTTACAATCAACACCTTAGCGGCAGTTTTCTCACATACATTTCACCATCACATTCTCCTCGAGCATCAACTTCAACAGCTATGACCACCTCCCTTCAGCTACTTTCTAAAATAATAATAAAAAGATACATAGCCAAGATGTGCAAATTTTCTATTTGTAGCTAAATAAAAAGAAAAAAAAACCTGGGGGATATATTGGAATAAGAACTCCTTTCAAGTACACCAAATCTATTATTTTTTAACTATGGCGTTTCTGATGGTTAGTTTTTAGAAATGTCTAAGAAGGGGCCAAATATACTGTTTTTGAAAAGAGTGCCCTTTTTTCCTTAATAAGCTGTGTTAAAACTGCAACATCAAGGGTAGAAAGATTTTTTTTAAATCAAGGGGCGATTGCATTATTTTACAAATCATACTGGCCTTATGAACATCCTCTGCAATAAATATTCTTTTTAGCCTTAACTATAAATTATATATTTTAGTGTTTAAAAACCTTCAGTTGTAAAACATCTAGAGACAATCCTTAAACTACATGTCCTATATGTGAACCTTTAAGGCCCCTAATTTACAAATGTGAATTGGCACCAAAGGATTTCTAAACTTCAACTTTTCTATAGAAAAGGATAGGAAGATATCCTGGCAATTTGTGAATGCAATTTCTCTCACTGAAACACAACCTTCGAAAAAAAATCACCTTTCCTCTAACACCATAGTTAAATGCACTTGCTTTGCAATTCAAAGTTTGCACACAAGCACTAATATATTTCCAAACCATTCCATTTAAAAAAAAATTCCCACAATAAAAGAATGTATTTCCTATATCTAATGGACTGAAAGTGCTTTGAATGGAATGGTTTTAGAATATTTAAAAAAAAAAAAAAAAAGACGGGCTGTGGATTGAACCTGACCATAATGAGGCTGAATATCTGTTGGGTCAGACCAGCATTTTATACACAGGTAACTACAAAAATATGAAGATTACAAAAATATAATATATTATGTCAATATTTCGGTTTCTCTTTATAATAGAGTATCGTATGAGTAGTACATTGGGCCTTCCCCGACAATGCTAAGCTGGAACCCTACAAAAGCCTTATGCGCAGGCAATCCACAGGTACAAAAGATTAACATATAATAATGCTGTATACTAAAATACACTAACTAATGGGTTATGTTAACCATTTATAAGGTGAAGAGGATAAAAACCTAAGGAAATAAAATAAACATTTACAGATGAATTATAAAGTGACTAAATGCATAAGCAAGCAAGATACAGAAAAGCCTAGAACTGCGTTAAAGCTATGCTTTTTATAGGAAAAAAAACAGAGAATATGTCATTTTCTATTTTAAAAAACCCTCTTCTACTTTAAAAATGGTTCGTTGGTTGGTTTTGTTTGTTTTATATGTAAGAAATGAAATCTAATACCTCCCCTGGAGACATTGTGTGTGTTAATGCCTATTTTTACAACATACAGACAAGAACACTTTAATATAAAAACTAGTTGATTATTATTGTATAAAATCCTCTATTTTTTGTAGCACAAACCCCTTGAGGTCATGCCAATATTATTTTTCTTTTTTTAAGACAGTTTTGGGGTAATTTTGTTTGTTTGAAGTCACAGATGGAAGGGAGAAAGAGCAAGGAAAAAAATAACAAGAGTGAAGTTTTCCCTTCTGGTATAAAAATGTCCTGGAGAAAAAGGCTTCTGGGGGAAGAGATCCTGATGCTGATTCCTTCTCAGATGCCCCTTTTTTCTATTTGCTCAGATTGCCAAAAAAAAAAAAAAAAGAAAAAAAAAAGAAAAAAAAAGATTTGGAGAAGTCCACTTAAATGTTTACGTCTCGGACATCGGTGGGTGTGCAGGAAAGGTCTGCTTCATCCTCAACAGTCTTTGTTTCTGAAGATATGTTGTGTTGCTGTGCCTGGCGTAGACTGGATTCGAGGAGGGATTCAATCTGTTCTTGGCAAGCTCGTAAACAATCCTAGAGAAGATTAAAGAGGAGGGGGAACACAAACCTTTAGAAAATAATATAAAAACCATATTCTAAATGCCATTTTAAAAAAAAAGCAAATAAAAATATAACACTATTTATATGGGGGTGAGGTGGGATGATGACTGAGTAGCTCAAGAGGTTGGGCTGTAAGTTATTGAGTTGAAACCACTGCAGTTCAGCAACTAAATTTTCGCAGATTATGTCGAATGAGAGTGTAGTCACAGTTCATCTAACTGGGATAAATGTGCATCTCAACAAATTGCTACGACAGCAAATCCTAACTGGCCCAATGTTGTCAATCTCTAAGAGAAGCCAATGACTGAATAGGCCGTGGAGACTAAACTATAATGTCAGCCTTAGTAATGGTTCTTCCAGCTCTAAAATCACATTGGTGGGACAGTGCATTGAACCTTATGTTACTTCTGCCTCTTCTGTAAGTATTCTGGAGACAAACAGAGAGCTCTGTCTCCAAAGCTATCAATCTGGCATCTTTCATGAGCATTGTTTCATGCACCAAGTTTTTTGAAAAATCCTAATAGTCTCATTCTGATCTCATAGCAGTGTCACTCTGGAGTTACTAAAATGGGGTGAGATTAAGAATTAGGCCCAAGACTGTAGCGCTATATAATTTCTACCTTTAGGACAGAAATGCCTTGGCACTACGATCCATAAGTCATGTAATAAACAATGGCTGCCCAGCTAAGGAATGGCTAAATGTTGTTGAAAAGAGACTTTCAGATGAAAGATACTCCATAGATACAAAATATTAGTCATTAATATTATGATTATATTCAGCAATGGCCTGATCAGGTTAGCTAATTGATACTAACTCTGAAAGCATCTGAACAAAAAATGCAGCATTGCATAAGACCAACTTGGATGCAGGTCCTTCACAGCCTACCATCAGTCAGTAACCTCATGGCAGTGATTTTAGAAAACCCTGCTAACCTTTTAACTTGCTATTGCACTCACTGTCACAGACACCATGTAAAAGTGAGACCATTCTCTTTTCAGAGCTCTTAGCTAAATATGAGCTAGATCCTGCTAAGTACTGAGTGTCTTTTGTCTGCAGGACGGTGCCAAGCATTCTCCACTCCTGTTGACTTCCATGGAAATTAAGAACGCAAATGTCTCACAGGTTCAAATTTCATATGAATAAAAGAACCACCCCCTTCATCTCCTGTCCCCTGCCCAGCCTCAAAGTGTACAGTTAGGAATTGGCACATCAAGCATCCGAAATTGATTTATTCACAAAAAGCTGTTAGAGCTTCAATTTTATCTTCTAGTAAATGCAGGGTTAGATATTCTTAAGCGCCATACACATCCATTGCATGGGCATAGACCTAGAATGCCTTAAATAGGCAAAACAATTACACAGCATATTGCCAAAATTCCCTGGCTTGTTGTTTACTCATATCTTTATAACAAACACTGTGAGCTTTTCTCAGCATATTTAACTTTGTGTATTAAAGACTTTGAAGTTTTCTTTTAGTATTGCCTTTTCTGATTTAACCTATGACATGCGTTAGCCCTTGCGGTGAACCCAGTCTTCCATGATAAATTGCCGTCAAAAGTGTTAGGATGTGCATGACTGAGAATGAATGTTGTTTTCCTGAGAGGGTGACCTGCCTGCTGTTTTCTTTATCTTCCAGTTTCAATTCTGCCTTCATTCAGAGGCTTCTTGTGTGATCTACCAGCTTTTCACTGATTCCACTATCACAAGAACCTCCTCTGCCACCAATAAGGGCACATGGCATCTGGGGTAAAATAAGATTAGAAACCCAAGCAAACAATTCTCTGCAAGTCCTTTCTGAGAGAGGGAGGTTAATCCTACCTCTAAGCAGATCAGACCATCAGTTACAGCTCACTGAAAACACATAACCTATGACCTTTTCTAGTTTAAACCCTAGTGTAATATTTCCTCTTGACAGAGACCCACAGTATTTTAAATGACAAAAAGAAATGCCTCATATCCTAAAGTCATCACACCTTTGACGCCTATATACCTCAGGCCTTCCCTGTGAGATCTCTAACAAGACTCTCCAAGATATGACAGATCATTTCTGACTTCTGATCCCACGGGACCCACATTTTAACTCCTGATTGCATGCATACCATCCATGACACACATAAATAGGTACGTAGAAATAGAAAGTAAATATAGTTTCTTTTTTTATTCCAGAAAGTTCAGGCTCTTTCAGGTTGACTCAGCAATAACTAGGCGGCAAGGTTCTCACTGAAAGCTAAAGTACAGTTGTTTCAGGGCAATTCCAACCCAGGCTGTTTTTGGAAACATCAAGTGTTTGAACACTGAAAACTGAAATGTGAACTAGTTTTGCTCATAAAATTAAACAAGGAATGAATACATTTTGTAAACAGCTTGGGGGAGGCATTCTATAAACTATTATTTTTTCCTTTTGGGTAGTTTAAAGGTGTTCTTTTGATCACAGAAATGAATCTTCAATCTGAGACTGGAGGAGTAGATTGAGTTATGAGTGTATACTGTTAAATACTATACAATCTTTACAGCTTACTGTAAACCAGCTTTCTGCTAAACTGCAATTTAATAAACAAAGTGGTGTTTGAACAAATTTGTTTTTGTTCAAATTATGTTTCAGGTAAATATTAAATGAACAGCTTCTCTGTGAGAATAAAGTTCTCAAAAATGCTACATACAAAGTAGAAAATGTATATAATACATTTTCATCATTAGCATAACATAATTGACATCCCAGAGTTACACTTAAAATTTTATTTTTCCATTCTACTCATAGCTTCTGAATACTGGAAGCAAATAAACTTGTGTGCTAGTCTGATAACTTCTCCCAACGACTTTTCTGCTTCACTACCCATATTTTCAATGCCCACAGTTTGCTCAAGGTCATAAGCCCTTCCTGGATTAATTAAGCTTTTCAGTGGGAAAAAAAGGCCTACTAACTGATGTAGTCAGATACCTTTATTTAACATACACACTAGACATGATCAGATTGAAATTCAGTCCATCATAAGATTTAGGGTCCTATCTAAAGAAAACAAACAACAACAACAAATCTATTTGGAAATCCTTTGTTATTGCCTGGCTCATTAAAAATAATAGACACATGTCTGAAGGTGTCTCTGGTGTGGGCAGGCAAGAGAAGCAAATTCCACTGCATTAACAGACAGCATGGAAACCCAATCTAATCTAGTTTAGCAAATTTCTGGCCTGGAAATGAATGTCAAGCAAAATTCAATCCATTTGGATGATGGGGTCAGTAACAGAATGATGGAAGACAGCCCAAGACTTCTAATTGTGATTATCTTACTTCTAATTACCACTGATCAAAGGCAGTATGGGAAACTGGACTCTTACCAACATAAACACTAACCATAAAAGAATTTCAATCAGGTGATATTGATTTTACTTTAGACTCAACTTTCTTGAGATGGAGGTAAAAAGTATCACTACAAAAACTGAAATCTAACAGCCCAGTTGCTCCAGCTTGCAAATACTCAGGAAAAGTGTTAACCATTTTGTCAAAATGCATCAGTCTAATAAATATTTCCAAACAATTGATTCCACGTGATACTAAATGTATAGCAATATGTGTCATCACTTGTGGATCAATGATTCAAGCAAAGTTATTAAGAAAACTTTTAAGGATCAGGACTAGTGTTTGATACATTAATTAATATATTTTATAAGAAATAAAGCAGTAAGCATCTAGTAATGGGATCCCTCTTTGTAAAAAATCAAGTAATTGTTAAATTCACAGACTAATTATAGCAGAGGGGATTGCACCTTTATTATAAACATGGGAACAGAAAGCATGTTAATACCGAAGACCAAGAAAGAAACAATAAAAAGGTAGGTGATCTTTTCTTTTTGAGGTGCTTTAAACAAATTTACACATAACTATGTGATATTTCTTATTTTACCAATGTAAAAACCTTATGACTAACAATCAAAAAAGTTTCCTTCCCACACATCTTAAAGATCTTCCTTCTAATTCAGTTTGAATTTGCAAATTACTTATGAATAATAAAACTCAATGCCCAAAGTGATTTTACATCTAATTTAAGCTATTTTCCTTTTTCAAACACCTTCAGTGACCAAGTCAAATCATGTAAGGGCATATTGCAGTTCTACTAGTTACGGAGCTCTGTGATATGATAAAATCGAATTCCTGATTTTTTTTTATATATATATATAAAATAATATTTTCTTTTAAATCAGATATTCACTATCAGTGCTAATAGCAGGCAGCTTACTTGTATGTGATTCAAGTTTCTTGAATTGGATGGAGTTCAAGCATACACACACATAAGCACCTGCATTGTCCTAACAAATTAGCCAAAGTATTATGCGTATATTCCACTCCAGCAATGTAATACTTAAAACATCTTTTTTCCATTTCTAAAGTGCAGTACTTAAGAGTATTTAACATTTCAGCACTAGTAAATTCTGCTCCTATTAATACTAAGGGCAAAAAAATCTGCTGAACAGAGTGGTATAGAATCTTGAAATAATTAGGGTAGGCAGAAAATCAGGAGCCGTGACATATCTGCCTGTGTTGGCGTCACTTAAATTCTATCAAAATACTACAAAAATATTCCCATGTTTGGGAACCAACCCTTATAATGCTTTCAAAGAAAAGTATTTTACTAACAATCATTTCAATTCTATGTATCATAGCCCCTTATATTAACTTGGGTGTCAGCTGTTTGGGTGTTAGCATGATTATATATCTTCAGTCTCAGTGGGGTAGCCATGTTAGTCTGTAACCTTAAAAAAAACGAGTTGGATAGGAAGATGATGTCTGGATTTTTGCGAGTTTTTTACTCCACTCAAGGTTATCAGAAGAAGTGGATTTTGCCCATGAAAGCTCATGATATGATATATATTTTTGTTAGCCTCTAAGGTGCCACAGGACTATTCATTGTTTTTATATAGTTTTTGATCACATAACATGACGGTTTTAACAGCATCTCAAAGATTCTGTTTCAAACCACAGGGTTGTCTTTATTTGACTCATTGTTCACTGCTTGGAGACCTCACAAGAACCTTTTTAAAGCATCTATTTATTGGTCTTCCACATTGTTACAAAACAAAGCTAAACTCTGCCCCAACTTCACACACCATTATGACATGGATCATTGATTTTAGGTCTTCCTTGTAGGCTCCCTTCCTGGCCCATTCACTCATGAAAGGTTTATTGCTTACTAGTTACTGATGTGCATCTCCTGGAAGCTGCAGGGCAAAAGGAGAGTCCTGTGAGGACCATCTACCTTGTTAGAATGTCATGGGACAAACATTTGTTCCAAAAGGGAATTCAATACCAGCTACTGTGCAGATCTAGCACGTAATAAACCAAATTAGATAATTAGATAAATGCCCTTTAAAAAAAGGCATTTCACACCACTTGGCACAATGAAGGGACTCAGGAGTGGTCAACGATAAGGTCAGAGATACCATGAGGTCTATTGCAATCTTAGTAACTATTTCCTTGTTTTATTTTAAAGCTTTGGTTCTATATAGACTGCTGGTTTAATAACCTACACACCAAATACAGCCTCGGCAACTGTCCTAAACCAATTTAAGAGTTTCCTTTGCTTTGCTGATGTCTGTCTAGGAAAATTAGAACTGGTCATGGTGCTTTTATCAATGAACTGTAGTAACATAATGTCTTATTATTACTGTATATAAGGATGACTAATAGTCACCGGGAAGAACAAAAGAGAATACATTTAAAAACCCACTTTCAGGCATTACTTTGATCAGAGTTTAACTGTCAAATCATATGCAACAGTGAGGAACTCATAAAACTCTAAGATAGAGAGACTGAAAGAATCACTTACCGGGTCACATTTGATAACTTGTGATAGGAAATGTGTCAGACATTGATAGGAGAGGAAAGTGTGATTGTTTCCCAGGTGAAGGCCTTGCACAGCTGCTACCACGCTCCCAGCTGCGATCATGGAAGGTGGGTTTGAAATAAATTTGACGTCTGTTTAAAGAGAGAAGGAAAAAAAGAAAGAGAATTGATTTATTTAGGAAGAGCTTGCTTGTCTCTCCTAAGGAGCAGATATGATTGCAAAATAACAAGTCTGAAGAGACTATAGGAATATAAACAAAGATTCCTCCTAATGTAACTTAACAACATAGGCAATTATGGTGCCCAATCCCACAAGCACTTATGCACATGAATAACTTTTCCTGAGTAAGAAAACCTTTTTATAGAGAGGCCTGAAAGACTAATCATTCCTTTGAGGGATTTTTAGGATATTAGGCCCTTATCCTGCAACACTTATAAATATATTTTATTTCAGTGAACAATTCTATTTAAATCAACAGGATTACTCACACAAGTAAACCTATTCACATTTTAAAACTTTTGCCAAATCAGGTGCATTATGTGATACATAAGCTGCCTCTGAATCACATACCATTTAAAATATCAACCTTTGCAATTATGTTAGAAATAGAGAAATGTGTAACTTGAATGTAAAACAAAAGCAAAAACAAACACCGGAGATTGAGACCACTTAAGCCTGTCAGTAGGTGAATATTCCATATTTAAATTAAGGCTTCGTCTTAAAATGCTTTGTCTCAACCTAGTCTCTTGTCAGCGGCTGCCATCTATCCTGGCAACAGGGATTTAATGTAAATGTGGCATAACTAAGTGACGGGGGTCCCAAGAATTGGCGGACAATCAGTTACATTCTGCAGTGACACCATGCTGACAAGAGGCTGGGCCCCCTTCCAGACTGCATTGCTGTAGGTCTCTCTACAAAACCACTCCCATGATTCCTTGAGGGGCCTATCTCTGCCATTAGAATGTTATTCCCCCTTTTTTTTAATAAGGGCAAATAATGAGGCATAATCCACATTTTAATGCTAAGGCTCTTTCTGCTCTACAGGAATGTGTTTGATTTCATAGCAAGTGCACCCTGTACCAAAGTATTAGGAGGAAAAGAAGTGTGTGGGGTACTAGTAAATGTTTAATTTTTTTAGGGAGAAAAGGGAAATAACATCTTATATACAATACCACGAGATACATTCCTTCCTCTTTTATCAAATGTACAACTTCTCCCTGGCTGTATAAACATACACTATCTGTCAAACCCATGAATTAAATCAAAGGCATGAAAAACTAAAGCTGAGAGGGCCCTATGGAACAACTTAAATATTAAATCGTTCATCTCCTTTATTATGAATTAATAACTTTTGTGTAAAGGCTTTAACAGTAAAAGCATGAGAGCTCTTTCTCTAGTATATAATAAATACGTATCATGGTAAGTATTATAGGTACAGTTTGGGATTTATCTCTGATTATCTATACCACGGACCTGTTCCATACCCACCTTCCAAAGGGCAATTTGCCTAGAACTTTATTAAATTGAAGTGCCTTCAAAATTAAATGGATGTGATTAAGTATGGAAGGGTTTTTTGTGTGATATGCTGCCAGCTAAAAGCCAATCAGTATCTAAACTCATGTCATATGAGATATATTTGAAAAAAGGTCTAACTTACCTCTTCTTTGCCCCTCCCCCTTTTCCCCAAAAGATTTGTAAATATATTCAGTTTGTTGCCAATACATGCATCCTATAGGCAGTATCTGATCTATCACTCATACGTTTTCTCAGGTACACTTAAAAGTGAAAGGACTTCTGTCACTTTTAATAAGTCTGAAGATTTGATTCATCAAAATTTGGTTGTATACACGTGCCCAGTCACAGTGAATTACCTCCAATGTTTATTTAGTTTCTGTTCTACAGGAAATGGCCCAAAATGGCCAAAATTATGCAAGTTTAATGAGTCCATTTAGGCAGTAGCAAGTTTGGGATTCCTATTTTCTTTTTTCTTTTAAAGGGAGCAATAAAGAAAAACATGAATCCATAGTCCCACCCTTATTCTGTCCAAGGTGGAAAAGTAATAATGAAGTTTAAATGACCAGTTTGTGTCTGTCCCCATAACCACTCCAGACAAGCAGGATGGACTGTCTTTTTGTTGCAACTCAACAAGGAATTATTTGTGGCAGAGGCCACTAATTTCAGCATATTAATCAGGGGGCCCCTCTGGCCTGTAATTGGATGCCCCCAAGTGAAGAGTGTGGCATCATTGTCAGCCTCCATCGCCTCATCTTGCGCTATTGAGCGCTCAGGAACAAGGGGGCTTCGGTGAGATGAATTAGACCTGACACAGCAACAATGGGGAAGGGGGCCCCATCAATTGAAGCACACATCCCCAGTAGCCTATCTGAGACTTCATCCAAAAAGAATAAACAACTTCAGCGTTGTTAAAAAGAGAGAGAGAGGGAGAGAGAGAGAGAGAGGCTAGAGTTAAAGTGCTCAGTACAGTTGGAGCAATGACACACTCAGAATTACACAAAGGCTGCAGCTATGCCACCCTGAAGGGAGGACAAAGCAGGCATCTAGGCGCTGCAGAGCTTTAAAAAAATTCCTAACAAGGCGAGTCACCCCTTTTCCTTTTTAAATGGAGCAACAATTCCATCCGTCTGGAGAGCTGGGGGCTATGAATGAAAATCTTTTCATTGAGGCAAATCAAAACTGTGAACATAAATCACTTGCTGCAAGATGCAACAGGTTCCAACTGGTCACATACCTTGAGTCTCCCAATTTTATAAAGGCCAGAGAATAGAAGAATTGTAGCAAAGTTGTTTCAAAGCAGGGTCTTTCTTTCTTTCTCTCCACCAGGGATGAGGAAAGAAAGGAGAGAAGAAGAACAATAATCATAACATAAAGGGGCCTGTTATGTTTAGATAACCAGAGGGCCACAATAAAATGCTGAAGCTCCCAATATTTGTTCCTTTTCATTGTTTTGCTAGTATAGAGCTGGAGCTTTTCCTTAACTCTGTCTTAACTTGGGCCAAAAAAAGGCCTGTTTCCTTTTGAGTTATCCCTGCCTTGCTTGGCCATACCAAAACCCCATTCATTAAGATCAATTATGTGTTAACTTCAAACAAGCCCTGGTTATTTTTTTTTCTTTCTCTAATCTACCACAGCAAAATGCATCCTTTAGGGAAAATATATTTTAAAAATAAAACAAATCCCCTTCTATTTGACAGACAACTGAGGAGGGAGGGTAAAGGGAATTTCACTCAACATCACCTTTCTATGTAAGTTTTTCTATTAAGCGCAAATACACAAACACATCTTCAAACACTTCCCCTGTCTTCATTTGGTTAAACTTTTTTTTAAAGCTAGCAATTACTTTGCTGTGTCACCTCAAGTGATCTACCATTAGTTTAGGGCACATGTTGTATTGCAAGTAGCGCTCACAGAAGGCCTGACCCAAAGACCTCTGGAGTCAATTTCCCAGTGGCTCCCATGGGCTCTGGATCAGGCCCACAAAGTATTATCAGAAGTGCAACAAGCTTGCAATCCCTCTAGATTAGAGATGGCTAGAAAAAATATGACACAACCAAGAGTGAAGCTCAGATGCTTTTGAAGACCCATGTTCTTCATCTTCATCCTGATTTCTGTCTAGGTATCACTAGCCAACAACGGAGTCATCAGATGGGACAAAAACTAAATAAAAACCCAAAGCTAGTCAGAAGCTCTGTTCAGCTTTCCTTACTCAGGAACTATTGCCAAGGGCTTCAATGGAGTGCTGAATAGGGTACCCAGTGTTGGTGATCTTCATGCTCTTTTTAAAAGCTCAGTAAAATTTTCTGAACGTGGTTCACATTCGCTGGTCCATTTTCCACCTACCCATGTGGTATGAAGCATAGTGTTAAATATAGGCTCTGGATGTGCTTTCTAAAAGAACCATAACAACACTGACAGTAGATCAAAGTACTGGATTCTTAGCAAGGCTTCAACCTTTGAACTACTCTTGTTTTCATCATTATCACTGCCAGCACAACAACCTTGGTTAAACATCCCCATATCCAAAGGGGAGACTGGATAGCTAGAAACACCAGCTACAACTAACAATTCCAATGAGGCGAGCACGTATTAGAATTCACTGCAATCTCTTTGTCCCATCTAGAATCTCTATCTAAGAGAATACATTTGATTTTCCACAAATGTTTCAAACCCTTTAAAAAACTATCTGGAGAGGTTCTAGCACTCATATTAGGAACAATGCATTTTCCAACCAATCAAACTTGTAAGCTGCGGGCCATTCTGTAGTTACACCTAGCATAAAGGCAAGGCTGAAACCTGACAATAATTTAAATATTTATCTTCAGGGGCTCTGGCTATTTCTCAGGGTCAGACACTTCAGTAGGCATGACTACATGAGGCCAATACATTCTTCTTCTTCTTTTTTTTTAAATGCTTATTATATTTCTTGAAACTTTCTACCGAATCCATCCCTGGGCTAACAACACTGAACACTAACTTGCATCAGGAATTAATTTGCCCTTTGGCTTTAAATACGCCCTAATTTTTCAAGTATAGAGACATTTTCTTCAGACTGAATGATTTACTATCATCATGCTCCTTTCACTTAATTATTTTTGGATATAATATTCATATACATAAAGGCAGTATTATTCAATCATTGCCAGTGAGTTATTAGCATCAACAAGATCCTCGACATTTATTTTTTGAGATGCTACAGGCTTCCCTTCAAAGGAACATTTGCTTTGGCTGCCTTTGATTCCTTTTTCTTTTGCCACCTTTGGGTTTCTCTTGCCACGCTAAGGGAAATCACATGGAATAAGAATTTTAAAGAAAAAAAAAAACAATCCTTTTAGAACCACCTTTGTCCTGCCAGCCCCTCCACTCTTTCACATGAGAAGGGTGGTAAATGGAGATCATAAAAGCAGTGTTACTCTTCTGATCTCTTGCTCCCCATCTTAGTCGTGTTACGGTTCAATGAATAACCATGCATGCACTCACGCACACCATTTGTGCACGTAGAGTTTCAGGGAACTAGCACAAACACACACACACATAGTGCCCTTGAAACCAAAGATCAGGCCTCCGCAAACTTGGCCTGGGGAACAGTCAGTGTCTCTGGCTCCTCTAGAGTCCGCCCCTGCACATGCCTTCAGCAAAGCACGTGGCCAGCTGGGTGTGGACAGCAGACTCAGTCCTGTGCCAGAAAAGCCTCCGCACCATGTGCCCCTTCTGCAATCCACCATCTACCAGCATGGGAAACAGGGCAACTTGAATGAGGGAGATTTTAAACATGCCAGTAGAATACACTCACATACAGTGCTAACCACATGCAAATTCTTCCTCCTAATGACTTTCAAAACTGCCTTAAAGTGAATCCACAAAGAGGAAGTCTCCCTCCAGGCCAGAGATTCTTTGGCAGGCGTACATAGGCCTAGATATACACTGGAAAAAGATCTAGTCGTTCTTTGAGATCGGTTTATTAAATCACTTTCCAAGAAGAATTTTATATATTTACATTAAATTCAGAAGAGAGGCATCTGCTCAGAAACTTACCTTTTGCAAAGTAATCCACTTCTGCAAATGGGGGACAACACTCAGGGCTTATATTATCTGCACTGAGTGCTGTGAACTTGCTGTATAGTAACTCTATGGGTAGTCTTAGGAGTTGGGGATAGGGTGAGTGTTGGGTTAGGGGGACATCATGCCATTTTAGTGTGCAGGGCATACCTGTAGCGCACAGAGCCACAAAAGTCTGGGCATGTTTACGGATGATTTGCTTGGTGTCCTCAGCCACAGGCATTTTAGTAAGGAAATGTTCAATGAAATCATGAGGGGTCATTGCAGCCAGATTCCATTTCAGCTTATTCACCAGAAACAGCTCCATTTGCTACAAAAACAAAAAGGAGGGAAGGGGGGAAAGAAGGAAAATGGTTAGAAGCTCTCCTTATGGACAGCTTTGAAATGTAGCAATTGCTTCTGAAGTAGTTTCGGTGACTTTGGTCTCTTTTTTTTTTTTTACTGTATTCTGGAATCTTAACGCACTGGCAATCTTTTTGAGGCACTGACTTCTGCATGAGGGGGAAACTAGGACTAAAATACTACTCTTGCTAACTAGTGGTGCTGTTAAGGATGACTACCAGCAGGAGAGCACCTAGGTGAGGATGCCTTTTTGCATGCAACTACTGGAAAGACTTATCCTCGCCCAGCTGCCTTGAAACGCTCCATTAAACAGTCAAGTTGCTGAACGGCACATTCGGAACGCAAGAGGGCGCCAGCCACCCACGTTTTCCACGCTGGACTGGACTTTCTCTTAGGGTGAGGTAATAATGAGAGTATTGGGGTGGGGGGGGGGTTTCATTCGAACAATCTACGGTCTAGTTTAGTCTGCAGTCCCTGAGCGTTTGCACAAGCCCGGGCTAAGGCGCGCGTGGGACCCCTTCATGCCAACTCCTTTGGGTTGGGGGAGGTGGGTGCACTCTCTCTGAGAGCCATGTAAGTTACATCTCCTGTCCCCATGTGCGAGTCAGGGAGTTAGCCTGGGAGCTGGAGCGGAACGAGCAATAATTCTACGGGGGTGAAATGCGCATAATGCTTCAGCGTGGCGGCGTGGGGGGGCGGGGGAGGCAGGCTGGGCAGATCTGAAGAACAAGCCTGACGATTTTCTCTGTCGGGCGGGCTTATTTATGTGATTTAATTGTTTGTATTTCTCTTCCTCGCTCCTGCTCGTGCTTTTTTTTTCTCCCCCCAGACGAAAGAAACGTGAAATTACCAGTAACTCGTCGGGTCTAATAGAGTTATCGGTGTAAATGCACAGTTTTTCTGCGGTCAGAGGAATAGTTTCCTTCATTTTTGACGCCACAAACATGCAGGTAGCTCCCAGGAGTTGCAATCGGCTTTTCTTGAGGGGTTCAAACGATAAAAATCTGTCCAAATAATTCATAGCCAAGGGGAAAACCTCCTCTTCACATTTCTGCTCCTCGCAAACCTGGAAAAGGAGAGAGCTCGTTGAAACGACCAGTAATTGCATCCACTATTAAATCCAGTTATGCCTCCTCCCCCCACCCCCAACCAAAGCTTGAAGGGCAAGGCAGAGGATGGGGTTGACGGGGGAGAAATAAATTTCCCCAAAAGGAGAGGAGGGAAGACTTAAAAGAAACTGAAAGAGAAAGTCGCAAAGAGAGAAAGTGGGGAAATGTGGTGTGAAAAATCCGCAGGCGAGCTTTGGTAAAAATCTGGGTGCTCGCAGATCGGGAGTCGCTTTTTTTAAAAAAAAGGACAAATAACTTGCAAAGTGATGCAGGGGCCCAGCTGGGCTCCCAGGGTTTTCTTTAATTATTATGATTATTATTTCTTATTTACTTGGGTGCAGCCGATCTTCTGCTTTGCTCGAGACACAAAGGTGGCGTCCGGAGCAGCCGCACCAGCCCCATTTCCCCAGACGTCATCTTTTCAAAAAATATTTAAAAATATTTAAAAAATCAGCCCAAGCTCCAAAAACGGCTGAAAATGACCCGGCGGGGGTCCTTTACCGATCCCCGTGCTGATGGGGCACCTAGGGGCGGTCAGGGAGATACCCCGAAATCAAACTCCCTCGTTCCCCCTCACCCTCTTCAGAAAAGCAACGTGCGACATTTCCTAGAGCAAGGGCAACGTGCTGCGCTTTCAAAAATTAATTAAAAATAGATCGCAGGCGTCCAAGGCTTCGGAAAAGGCATGAAAATGTAGCCCAGGCTCCCTAGATCCTGCTGGGGATGCCCTGGGACATGTCCTGCCAGGGGAGTGGGGCATTTGAACTGGATTTTGCCATGCGACCTTGCCGAAAGTTCCTGCAGCACAAGCATGTCTTTGAGGGGTGACCACAGCTCGCTCTCTGCTCTGAACAAAGAAACTTTCACCCTGCATTTCCCCCAGAAATGACAGAGCCCAACAGCCGATCCCCCTGTCCACAGCCCCAGCAGGGACCCCCATTTCTGGGACGCCCCCTGCCCCCCTTGGCTCGCTCCTGGGGACTTGCTAATTTTCTAATTATTAATAAACACTTTTGCTTTGCAATAAAAGAACAAAGATGGCGCATAATACTGGCACGGGCAGCACTTGCATACGTGTACATCGATATTAATTTAAAATAAAATCCCAATAAAATAGCTGGCGAGGTTTAATTGCTGCCCGAAGACAAGAGTGGGGCCTCGGGGTGCCTGGGAAGTTGCTGTGTTCATCTGGGATCCCAGAGGAGGCGTCTTAAGGGGGCTTTTTCCAGCTGGGGCTGTGAAACTTTGTTTTCTCTGGCACCGAGTTCATTTGAAAAGGTTCAAGGGAGCCCCCCCGCCCCAGAATTTATTTTTGTTTTAGAGATGGGGGTGCGGGGCTTGCTTTCCCGCTATGGAAGGCACCTCATTGTTAAGAAGCAAATAGAAGATAAGGGGATAAAAGCCATCACATTCTTGACTGTCAATATATAGCTCTAGCGTTACCTCCAATGCTGAAGGAAGCTTTTGGGGGGGGGGCGAGGGGGCAGATTCTAGAACGGGGGAGCCATTCAGGGTTGGTTAATGCAGCAGCTTGCAAAGAAATCTCTGAAACATACAAACCTCCAGCATCCAAGTGGCAACTATTTTCCTCATATATGGCAAGATTTCCTTCTGCACGCACTTGAAGTAGGACACAGAGGGCGAGCAGGTCTCCTCTGCTTTCAGCATTGTCTGCAGAACCCTGTCATTGAGGAGGTTGGTATCTAGATAGGCTCTTCTGATGGTCTCCACTTCACAACACAGCAGCTGATGTTCCATGTCTGTCTCCTTCTTCCAAAGGCAGTTTTCTAAAGGACTGAGTCAGTCAGTCTCTCGCTCGCTTCCCCTTCCAGGAGTCCTTTGGATGCTGCTTGCTGCTACTGCCGCTACAGCCCTCTGGAGGCTGCAAAACTTTCTAACTTCCAACAAAAGTCTCCTGTATAGCCCCTGTGACGTTTACTGTTGTTAAGCAGAGATCAAAGCACAAGAGAGAATGAGACAGAGAGTGAGAGAGAAGCCAAAAGCAAGGGGCAGAGCCCTAAAGCCATCCCATAGGCTTTAAGTCCTTCCCCTTATACAGAAGCAAGGGTTTAATGCAAATGAGACAAGGGCTTGCTTTCTTCAAGGGAAGCAGAGAGGTGGGGGAAACCCAAATTGTCTCTTCAGCGTATCATGCATAATTTTTAAAATCGAGAGAGTAATGCAGTGGGAGCCAAATGATGAATGGGACTAGGCCACACACAGTCAGGCATGGCTATAAATACAGGGAAGCTTATTTATTATCATTTTAGTGGGGGAGGGCAGCAGGACCATATTCATTATTATCACCCATCTCTAAATTAAACTAGCATTGTTTAAAAATAGGCTTTCAACCTGGCCTGCCAGGGCATGTAGAGGATCTTGTCCTTTTCCATTCCTTGTACCTACCCCCTCCCCCAACCTCACCAAGTCAGTGTAGATTTTTGCTGCATCCCCGAACTGAAAAGAAAGTTCCCCCTAGAATATTCAGGGTGCTTTTTTTAATATTAAGCTTTTACCCTAAAGACAGGGTAAGCAGAACACCCTGATAGCTCATCGAAGCTGCACTAAGAAAGCAGTTAACCCTAAGCAGGCAATAGATCAGATATCAACACCCCACCCCCACAGCACACATAACCAGTAACCACCCAGAACAATCCCAGCAAAATGGTGGCCAGCATTTCCTCCCGCACAGTTAACACCTAGAGGAAGAGGAATGCGAGGAAGGTGCTGATATTCACTGGGGTTATCAGGAGCCAGAGCCAAAGCCCATTTAAGTTAGCAACAGCCCTATCCACAGTTGTATTGTGGTCCCAGCATGGGAGACTTTACTTTCCCAAATAAAGCTATTTTAAATTTAAGAAACCTTTTTTTTTTTACATTGAACACTTGTTAAAGGTCTTCCCTTTAATCTGAAACATTTTCAGAAAAGAGGCATTTAGGCCTGAAGGGATTTGGCTGCTTTTTGCATACGGGGAAAGTGCTACGGCTGAAGTCTTAGCCCCATCCCAGCCATAGCAAAACTCATTTCAATGGAGCAAGCATTTGTGTCTCGCTGGTGACTGTTTTGGGGGCTCATAGATATGGGGATCCACTTTGTCCTCTGCTTGCTGAACTGGTTCTCAGCCTGCCTGGCTGGGCACATCTTAATACATAATAATAATTAATACATTAATACCTGGCGCTTCTGCAGCCCTTCTCAAAGCATCTCCAGTTGGGTTAGATTGCATGAGGTTCACATGTATGAATGTATAACGTATACATAATTCTGCATAGCAATCCTTGTCCCTCTTGTACATGCAATGAGCTATATTGGATATATCGCTACAGATCATAAGGCTATAGTTTTATTTATGTATAGTGTATATAACAGGCGATCTTCACATCTGACCTTTGTCTTGCCTATATTATGATGATACACAAAGGCTCCAGTCAGGATATTGGCCCCTGTTGTACTTGTCCACTGCTAGAATTTATGGGATTTTTTTTTTAACCAAGGAAAGAAATTCCTACCTATATAAATTATGTATCTTTTTTATTCCTGAAAAGTAGCAAATATGTTCCAATTTTTATTAAACAAACAAACAAACATTAAGCTCACCCTTTAAAGTCAATAAACTATTTGTCCATTAATCACAGACAAGTTCAGGGGTACATTTTGTTCAACAAATAGTTACATCGCTCCTTAATCTCAAACGTTTTTTCTAATGTGGATTTTTTTTCCTTTCAAGCATTAGTGACATTTTCTAAGGCAGTATAATTTGGGGACCAGGCATTGCCTCTACCCCTCTGGTCACATTAGTGTTTCTCTCTGTTTATTTCTTGATCAATAAATCTTCCATCGGGGATCAACTACACTGATTCTCCATCCCTCCCCCACGCTCTGTTTGCTGCATGGAATTCTTGCTCTCCCGATGCATTTGCTGCTGCTTTTTTTTTCACGATGCGAACAAAGTTGTTTTTTCATTCATAAAAATCCGCATCGGTGTGGCAAGAGCCCTTGATTTATGAGGCGGAGTGGTATCAGCTACAGCTTTTCCGGAGCCCCCCTCCCACTACCACCCTCCAGCTGAGACCGCTGCACAGACAGACTGGCTTCTGCTGCGTGTGGCAATATTGCATGAACGAGATCGCCCACTTAAAACAAAATTGGCTCTAATTCCTGCAGGGAACCCCCACCCCCTAAAATGGGCTGAAATACAAGAGGAAACTGAAATTAGCATAAGCCAATAGGGGAATAGATCTGTTACCAGGCGGATCAGGCAGATCTGAACTAGGAACTTGCTTGATTTCTCTGACAAGAAAAGGGGACTGGTCAAAAGTGCAAGAGCTACAAAAAACCGTGAAAACTTGGATTGACTGAGGGAGGAAAAGTTTTATGACACTTTATGACACTTTATGAACCCTAAGTTCACACCGTTACTGATAGCCGGTGCCTACTGCTCTTTTACGGAAATAATTCTCCAAGATCAAAGCACAGTCATCAAAAGAATTATTTACTTGTGCCCAATTTAAAAATCTCGCCCTAATGCCGGGCAGAGAGACTTCTCAGCTCACTTTAGATCCTTGACAATGTTTAAAGGTGCACTTTGTCTTTCTGAAAGGCGGGTGATCTGCAGCCGATTTAGCTGTATTGCAAAGCAACATGCGAAATATAATTTAATTCATGACTAAAGAAGGAAAAAGCATTGCAGCATTTTCAGAACAGTTCGTGTCTGTCTCTTTATTACTCAAATGCAGGACAGACTTATAATTGCTGAAGGAGGGGGGAAGGTTTTTTGAACCTGTTAAAAAATCCATTTGGGTTGTAACCCACATGTACAGGACTAGTCTTGTTCCTTGCTGTCTCTCCTAAGTGTGCACTTTTCACTCGAGCCCAGACGGAGGGAACCAGCCTTCTTTTGTTTGTAAGAATGCCATAAATTAAACAAACCACTTCCCACATGTGTAGGTGGAATCTCACCTTGGGCCAGATACCTGATCGGCAACTTAAAAGGGTTCCCCTCCCCCCCACTCATCCGTCAATGTTTTCCATTGTTAAACTTTTCCAATCGCTCATTGAAGGGGGGGAAAGGCTTCTTCCTCCACGCTCAAGTCTCCTTTTTCACAGTGCAGATTTCTGCAGTTCGTCTAACGTGCTGCCTCCTCAGCTCCCCAACCCCCAATTTTGTCCCCCGTTTTGTCTTTCGCAGCACGTGTTATTCCTAGCCTTAGTCTACTGGCAATTTCCATCAACGCCCAAAGCAAGCAGTTCTGTCTCCTTCTCCAGCTACGCACACATCCCAAGGCTTAAAAGAGTGGGCGTGCGGGAGAGGCGGTGTGGGAGGGTGGTCGGGAAAAGAGGGTGTGTGTGTTAAAAGCAAGGTGCCTGGTTCTTCTGGATCAAATTCACATGAGATCTTGGGCAGGACAAGGCTTTAGCAAGGGCCTAGTACCGATAGCGACATCCCAGGAAGGAGGGGAGGTGAGGGTAGAGGTGCAAAGTGGGAGTCCCCAAAATGACATAGGTCCCACCAGGCTCTGGCTAGAGCAGAACTAATGGAGCCAATGGGCCATTTCTATAATCACTCGCTTGCCTTTGGAGGCGGTCTTCTCTTGTGCCCTGAAAGTCCCGAGGGAAGGGGAAGGGGGGTGGGGGCTGTCGCACAATGCCAGGGGCAGCAAGATCCCACACAATCTCAAATTCCTAGTGGGCTACACGCCCTACTGAATGAGCCAGCGATGTGCTGCTGGAGTTTGCTTTGCAGCCAGTCGCTTTCCGGGGTTGAGTCACAACCTCAATTTAGTTCTACTTTCCGCTCTCTCCACTATATATATATATATATATATACACACACACACACACACACTTTTTAGATATGCGCAGTAACCAATCCACTACACAATAGGAACGATTCGTGTGTTGTACGGTTGTGGAGGCAGCGCATTGCCCCGATCCGACTCCATTACTTAAACAGGACTTTTTTTTTTAGGCAAAGGTCCCTTGAAGAGCCCATGACGGGAAGAGAGTTCTATCGGAGATCTCTCAGCTCCGGACTGCGTGGGGCAGGAGGCGATGCACTCCGGATCTAGCCCCTCTTTCTTCACTCTACACAGACATGTACTGCTAGGGCTTGTCGTGTCTTGCCCTTGACGTTGAGTTGCATTATGTTCTTAGTGATGAACCTTCCCATCGCTTACCTAAGGATTTAGAAGAGATCTGGATGTTTAACGTGCCAAATCATTCTCCTTCTTCCTTTTCTCCTACTGCAAGAGGCTCATTTTTTATTGAACCATCCTGCAGAATCAGAGGACTTTGGGGAGGTTCTGTGATGCAGTTTCTAATGCTATAAGCTTCATTCTCTCCTCCGGGGCCAGTAGCCTCCCCAGGAATTGAAATGGGGGGGGGTGTTTGAATTTACAAGGGGTGTGTTTAGGGCCAACGAGGGGTGACACCGTGAGGGTGACGGAGGGCTGTATGGCACCATCGTTCACAAAACTGGGGGAGTGTTGGCGAAATTCAGGGGGAGTATACACCCTCATGGGGGGGGGTAGGGAAATCCCTGAATGTCACACGTAACTCTTGCAGACAATCGAGTAACTGCAGAATCCAAACACTCCGGGGACTAGTAGTTTTCTGAACTGTGTTCTTGTTGCACTACGTGGTCGAAGTGGTTGCACACGCTCCATTCTGGAGGTCTCACATCATAATTACTGGATTCTGCTTTCCAAACACAAACAAAACCACCTTTCCCTTACACGTGGGCCACCCTGGTCACATCGTATTCGACAATCGAGTAACTGCAGAATCCAAACACTCCGGGGACTAGTAGTTTTCTGAACTGTGTTCTTGTTGCACTACGTGGTCGAAGTGGTTGCACACGCTCCATTCTGGAGGTCTCACATCATAATTACTGGATTCTGCTTTCCAAACACAAACAAAACCACCTTTCCCTTACACGTGGGCCACCCTGGTCACATCGTATTCTCACGAAAGGGTGCATCCAGATACGCCAGGGCAATGCAAATAATTGCGATTGTTCTTG